GAAATAGAACTTTTTCATTAGAATTTCAAATAATGAGTGGAGAAAGAGTAACACGTTATGATAAAAATAACATAACTTACAACAGTTGACATTTTAACATCATCTCCACTATTACTCTTCTTGTTTTGCACATTAACTTAAATAAGCTACCTCCATGATAGTGTGTGTGTGTCGCCGTCAGCTTCCAGTTCTAAGTGTCCAGCAGGTTGTATTGCTCATTTAATATTTCTTAACTTAATCAATATTTATATCGTTGTTAACCAAGAGTGTTATATATATATTATTGTAGTGTGACCCTTAGTAGCTATTCTAAGGAAGTATAAATTAAATAGGAACCTCAGCTCTTAAGTTACATATAGTCTAGCCAGCTATCCCCGTTGATCACTTTGAATACTGATGGCGGGCGTTTAGGCTGAACCCCTGAATAGCGACGTAGTGTAATGATATACATAGTACATCATTAATATCATAATAAATTATTTGTATACACAATAGATCATTAATGTCATAATGTATTATTTAAGACTTCAATCAATCAATTCCACAAAATAAAATGTATACCAATAAAAATAAGATATATATATATGTACCTTTTAAATGTTTAAAAATATTAATGAAATTTCGTAGAAAAAGAGTATATATTAATTATATAAAACAAACAGGAAATAATAAACAATATGTAATAGTAGCACATAAGATGAAGGGTAATAAACTATGTCTAAATTATTATATGAGATATGATTGTATTTTATAATATGTAGATCATTATTGATGAAAATGTAATAAATAACATGTAATAAATTACGATTAATAAAGAAATAACGGTGACGTCGGGGATTACTTCTTGCCTTTGAACTACGGTCAAATTTAATATAAAAAGCCAAAAATAAAGAGCATTCTAAGACAGATGCAATCAGATATTTACAGAGGCACTCACTACGCTCGATCATTCCACACTACGAAATATATGCAAGAAGTGATCCGCCGTCAACACAGTTATATTTGTTCACAAAATACAAAATCTATTTATTTAAGAGTATAGCAGAAAATATCAAGGTAGGAATCTAATAAATTCACCAAAAATAAATAAGGTTTAAAATTAAATATTATGAGTACATAGATTAAGTAGGCATACAGGAAAATCAAGTGATTATCAATAATAATAAATATACCAAGTAAATTTAATAAATCGATAATGTTTGTACAGAGTTACTTGGCAGAGTTATATCGTTGATACGTGTCTATTTCAGGAGTTAGGTTGGAGGTTCATATGTATAGCCACCATACCACTCTGGGTAGACACACGAGGTGACTCAATCCCACCTATCATCGATAACCGTCAAAACTCGTGGCATTATTGATATTTAAGAATTGACAATTAATTATGATAAATCCCATATTAATAAAATAAAGATCACTTTATTTTTCTATCATCTTCTATCTTTCTTACAGACCCTCGTACTCATATCCCGAGTAATAATATTATTAATACAATAAAGTAGTGGATCAAATAAGAATCAAAATCCCGTCATATTCTATTTAACTTATTTCTTTTGAGCAACTGTCAAAGTAGCTCCCTAAATTAATAACCCCCCTAATTATTATATCATAATTAACACATAAAGTATTAAAGTAATTAAATCTATTATTATTATCTTTTTTTGATTTACTACAGTAGTTTATACCAAATTAAATGAAAATATCTGAAGTATTTACACAAAAAAAATTATTTTGATTCGTATAATTTTTAAAAATTTATGATGGCTTTAAGAAAAAAAAGTTTAAATAATTTTAAAATTACCGTATTTAAAAATTTATATTTTTGAAGGATTATTCCCATTTACGGAAAATGAAGGAATTTTTTTCACTCTTTTATAGTAATTTATTGATATAGATACTGTAATAAAACCTTAAACATTTACTATGATCATATCAACGAAATCGTAAAGAATAAGATAATCACCAAATAATATATTTAAACAGTAAGGAACCAGACACCATTAAAAGGGGACTAAAATTAAGAAAGGGAATTGACGGTTTCACGATCATCTCATTCGATGGTAAAGAAAGGCGTTCATTTTTGTAGTCGTACGGTGGTCATTGGAATTGTGTATTTATTATTATTATTTTATTATTTTGCGTATGTGTGTTACAATAATTATATAATTGAAATACAATTATTTATAACCGTTCTAAATACTTATTATTTTATTCAATTTCATTATTATTATAATAATTATTTAGTGTGGCGGTCAGAGTAAAGGTCAGATTTTTGGTACTTTAATCAATGACAATATTTAATGTGTGAACTGGCTAGTTAGTCTCCAGCCTAAACCGTCCTTTGATTGATAAAACCAAAAAGTAGTTATGCTGGTAATTAATAAGGAGTCGCTCTTCAGCCTGCTATTTTGAGCTAAACTGTATTGACGGGTCTACAGGCTATCCTTTTAGTGGTTCATTAGTTAAAGAACACTGGGCTGACTGGCGTATTCCGACAAGAGTACTCGAAAAGAGCCAAAGAAACGCTGTTAACATTAAAGAGTATAATTCGTTTGCTTGTGTTTGTCTGTGTTTTGGTGTCCATGCCTGGAGAATCCTATGTGTATTAATACAGTTCGTGATATTTTGAAATACCCTTTAAAGTTACGAGAGAGCTGAGAGAAGTGGCGATAAACATAAGAACAAACATAGTAAAATTAGCTTATCGTATCGCAAAAAAGCTAAAAATTTTACTATAACTTTAGATAACAACTCATGATATTCATAAACGTATTTTATTTTATTTTTCAACGCCTAAACAGGCAATATTTCAAAAAACATTAAAAGCTAAGTTTAAATTTATACAACAAAATATTATTATTAATATAAATTATTTTGATAAACAATGAAATACTATAAACTAAAAACAAAAAAGGTCTTGACTAAACTCATTAAGTCACCTAAATATTCTATGGTGAGGGTGGTTTTGACCATATGAGGTAAGATGAAGGGGAATTTGGAAAAGGGAGTGGTTTCTTGTGTTATGGGAAGGGACTCGGAAGGATATTTTGGAAAGAAGTTCAGGAGAATCAATGGAACCAATGAGAAGGGATTTTAATCATATTAATCAATATGTATGGATTTTTATTTTTAGTTTAAAATAGCTTTAAGTAATTGTAACAGTAATTGTGCCTTTTGTCATAAATTATAAGTAAATCAATAAATTATGAAGTAAGACGTTAATTTACGTTTAACTTTGTATACATATATCGGTAAAAATTGTAATTTTTTAAAAGTTATTTTTATTGAAACATAGCTAAAAAAACGTGTGAAAAAATTGATTAAATAATAATGAAATTTATTTAAAATGGAAATTATAATGCAGTATAAAATGGAAATTAAATTAATTTTGAACCATAAATTAAATTAATAAATTCATTTTTTATTAAATAAATTAGCTAATTTCAGAATGAATAATTAAATATTTTTTGACATCCTATTATATCATATAAAGAAATATTTATTTATATTTTACATTGTGAAGATAAGTTAAAAACAGAAAATACTGTTTTCATAATAATGTTTATAATATTATTTTATTATTTATTCTTTTATTTGCAATTTGAAATACACAATCTGTACAACATAGCACAATAAGTATATATGATATTATAATAGTAGCATGAATATTTTGAATTAAGAAATCACCCATTGGTGACACTTGGCTGGGAATTAATGCTGTTTAGAGTCTAGAATTTGGTTGTTTTTTTTTTTTATTATTATAACAAGTCACGGCATCAGTTCCTTTTTAGACGACGCCCGGGGTTTCTCGGCATGGTTTGTGTGTAGAGGCTCTTTATCAATGGATTTTGGTGGGTTTGTATGCGATTATGAAAGCGTTTGTAGAAATCTACAGCTTCCTATGTCACAGTTTTCATTGTGAGGTCTTTATGTAGGGTATAATTGAACACAAAAGGTGGAGCATTCGTCATTTTTCTAAGGGCAATATTTTGGAACTGTTGGATTTTGTTGGTATTAGATACTTTAGCAGTACTCCACAATTGATGACCGTAGGTCCACATTGGTTTTAATAGTGTTTTATACATAAGAACTTTAACTTTTAGTTTAGAGTGTTTATTATTTGTAAGCAAGGGACGTATACTGAGAAGTCGGGAATTTAAAGCAAGTATTTTGATACGGATGTGTGCGTTCCAAGTAAGGCATTTATCCAAATTGAGTCCTAGGTATCTGACTGTGTTAGACATTGGCATAGGAACATTATTTAAAGATAAATTTGGACAGAATGAGTGACATAAAGTGAATGTTGTATGTACTGACTTATTTGGATTTGGTTTAATTCGCCATTTCAAGTACCATTCTGACATTAAATTCAGATGAATTTGAAGGTTCGAAGATGCAATTTGGAGATTTTTGTCAATTGAGATTATATTAATATAAATTAATATAAAAATATTAATATTTCTAATATATTAATTCTTATATTATAAATCTATTATAAATATTATTTTAATCAATTTGTTATTTAATTATATTATCTAATCAATTTGATTGATTTAGCTACAGAAGTAAAAATCATTATAAATATGTTTAAATAAAATCATTATCATCAATTAGTTATCAGATTCTATAAAAGTTTTCATTATTTGTTTTTATCTTTATTGTCTAAATTTATTTTTTCAAAAGTGGTAAATATATGTTAAATGCAATATACATTTATTAATTTTTTAATACGAATAAATATCTTTATTGTAAAACATCACTAACATTTAAATAGGAAATGAATTGTATTATAAATATGTCATCAAATGCAATTGTTTCAATTAAGCTATTTTGATGATTAATTAAGTATTTAAAGATTTTTGTATGCATTATTCATCATTATTTATTAATATTTATTCAGATTGTAATAAAAATTCTTTAATGTTTAATAATTCATTTTAAGCCAAGGTAACTTGTGATTCGGTTACTCAATTTTAACAATAGACTGTAAGGAGTTCGAATATTTAAAACTTTTATTTTGGTAAATAACTTTTACTTTATTTTTCGCTCGTTATCGTGACGGCTACGGCGTGCCGTCCGTACATATTCGTAAAGGTCGCCGTGCGCAACCTAACTAAATGATAAAAATGAAAACCGGTCGGAGACCACTATGTACACGGTATTATCACACAAATAGAAAATGGATCGAACATCTTGGTATAGCTAGAAGTTTAACTCTCCAGATGGACTTATTGATATTCAATGCTGATCAATATAGACCCTAACTGGGAGGAAACTTAGAGGGACTAAACCTTTTTAAAGTTTTAAATAATTACATATATGATTTATTAAAAAAAATTAGGAAAGGAGATTGGGCTAGCTTTACATATAATGAACCCCTCCAAAAATTTTATTGAAATTATACTAAAGCTGATCAAACATTTTCAAAATCGAAATGATATAAAACACACAACTCGCAGACGATTTAATCAAGATAAATTTCAAATATTAAATATACAAGTATAAAAACATGATGGAGTACTTATTCGCCATGTTACAAAGTATTTTAATTTTTGGGTTTGTAGTCAATATTATTAATGCTAATGATAGTACCATAAACCAAAATTATGCTGATAAATATAGGCTTCTCAATCATTCATTATATGAAAATGTTATACCAGTGTATAAGTATCAATGCCTACGAACTGGAATTACTATTGTATTTGGTGACATTGATGGACCTCTTGTAAAAGGATATTTCACTTTGGGTAAATTAATTTAATAAGTTATATTTTGACATAAAAATGATTTATTTTATTAAATGTTTAGCCACGGAAACCCACGATAATGATGGTATTCCTCATACATTAGAACATTTAATATTTCTTGGATCAGAAGATTATCCTTACAAAGGAGTTCTTGATTTATTGGCAAATCGTTGTCTTGCTTCAGGAACTAGTGCCTGGACTAGTAATTTATCAAAAAATTATGACTAATGTTGTCTAAATTCTCATGTTTAATTCTTTATTTCTTAGGTGTAGATCATACTTGTTTTACAGTCGATACTGCGGGAAGTGAAGGATTTCTTTCATTGCTTCCAATTTATCTTGATCATATCTTATATCCTACTTTAACCGTAATAAATTTTTTTATTTATATACTTATAAGTACTTTTTTATAAATTGTTACCAATATCATTTAAATTTTAGGATGCTGGTTTTGTCACAGAAGTTCATCATATAACTTCAGAAGGTAAAGATGCTGGTGTTGTTTATTGTGAAATGCAAGGACGTGAAAACACTGTAGATAACGTTGTATATTATTCGTTGATTAAAAAATTATATCCTGGTAAATGTGGCTACAAATCAGTACAAGGAGGACTTATGAAAAATTTACGAGAATCAACTACTATTGAAAAAGTACAAAAGATTATTATTAAATCTGTTCATAATATAATACATAATAATAATGTGTTTCTAATAAATTTAATTTGATAGATTCGTAAATACCATCATGAATATTACCGGCCTGAAAATCTGTTACTTTTTATTACTGGAAAAGTAGACCATTCTTCTTTTTTCAATAGTCTAGAACCAGTTATCCAAAAGATTTTATCAAAAGTAATGAATTTTATATTTAGTTTTATTATTAATGATTTTTTACTTCTAAATATTAAAAATATAGGGATGCCGTGGAGAATATGTAAAACCCTGGCAAAGCCCTGTAGATCCTTTAACAGAATCTTCAAATTATGTAGAACTATTTCCAAGCGATGAAGAGACAAATGGTACTATTACTGTTGGTTGGAGGGCACCAGTTGGGTCAATTAATTCATACAAGTATTTAATTTATTTAATATTATGAATGATATTATACTGTGTCGTAACACAATAAAAGGGAACGGTGGTGAATGAAACGGTAATGTGTACGACAATGAAGATGAGGATGTGGTGCCTGCTGTCTATGTATTCACGTGCGTGTTGTCGTACAGCAGTCACCGTGCTCGGCTGACACTCCGGGTTAGCTGTGGGTGTCGAAAGACTGTTGATATAGGAAGGGAATAAAGGTAACACCAAGGTATGAGGTGCAGACGAAATGCAAGACACAAGTACTCTGAAATGTTGTGTAAGAGAGTAGATAGGGTTAAAAAGGAATAAACAAAGACTTTACTTTAAGCAGTAAGCCGGACAGCGACAACCGAGTACTGAGACTGATGAATGACACAAGGCACTGGAGCGACTGACCACGATGGTCAGGTCTTTTGGGTTTTTATAATAATTAGACCTATGGCCAATTTGGCAATAAATATTATTTGATAATTCATCAGTCTCAGGAAGCGGATGTGCTGTCTGTATTTTATTAAAATAATTCTCACAATAATGGTTACGTGACACCATCACACTGTATATCAAATTTAACTAAATATACTTATAAATTTTGATATTGTACCGCGCCTTGCTTTACGCAGGAGTTCACTCATGTCTCTCTCTATATCAGGGATGGGCAACTCAAAGTTACTAGAGGGCCAATTTTTAAAAAATTAAAATCTAGCGGGCCAGAGCATAGAAGCAAAAAAAAAAAAAAGGTCATTTTAATACATTAATACATTTTAATTAGCATTTTTTTGTTTATAATGTAATAATACAAAAAGGGTTATTAAAATAATTTAATTAAATATAAATAGATTGTTTAGTGTGAGTTTTGAGCATGGGTGGCTTCTAGTGACAACGCGGCAAAATCGACTTCTATTTCGGACGAAGAAACACGAAGTAGGTGACTCAATGTTTCATCTGTAAGTCGATTTCTATGTTTTGATTTAATACGTTTCATGTTTGAAAATATACATTCACAAATGTAAGTAGTCCCAAACATGGATAACATTTTTAATGCGAACTCTCGTAAAAGTGGATATTTTAGAATAGGTAATTTTTTCCAAAAGCTTATGTCAATATCTTTTGTAGATAAACTTTAAAATTGTATGTTGCAATTTTAAAATGTATCGCGGGCCAGATAAAAATGGCTCACGGGCCGGATGCGGCCCGCGGGCCGCCAGTTACCCACCCCTGCTCTATATCAACCGTATTAATATAACAATTGATGGTCATTGCATATTTTCCTCCTACTTTGACAACGAGCAAAGGCGGCTTTTGACTATCAATGTCTGATGATGCGTTCTGTTTCATTCTGAAGATAAATTCGACGTTAGTTTTGTGTGACATTCTACGATACGGATCGTTTGTGATACCTTTGTGTATTTTGTCTTCTTATGGAGGCTACAAACTATCATGTTTCCAAAAATTGTATGTTTTTTGACTATAATTTATCTTAAAATTCACTGTGTAGTTATAATTTAATTTAGGTTCTATGAATTAATATCAAAAATTAATTGAAAATAAAAAAATTTGAAATTATTATTTATAAGGGCCGTATATTGACAAATACTATTGGTTAATAGTAACGTGATAAGCCCTTGAATAATATTATGAATCAGTAGTATTTCATTCCAATGTTTTTTTATCTGATAAATTGTTTGCGTTTTAAAATTGTAAAATGATTTTGATTTAAAATATTAATGTACCATTCATTTGATTTCCATACTACTAGAGCTTACGGTATTTAACTAAATTATAAAATAAAAAATGATCATAATATTGTAATTATAAATAATCAAACAATTATAATTAAAGGGTTATATGAAAAATAAAACCAATTACTGTTTGAACAAAACAAAACTATTTTAGTAAATATAAAGTATACATTTTTTTTTTAGGTATATGGCTTGCAATTCACTTTTATATTATTTAACCTATACTCCAATAAGTGCTTTAACAAAGGAATTTGTAGAAATATCCGAACCATTTTGTAGCTCGGTAAATATAGTACAAATTTTTATTTAGTTCAAATAACTGTTATTAGTGACTCTTTTATTTTAAGGTATCTTACTATGTTAGTGATAATTTGAATCCATGTATAGTTCTTGAATTTGAAAATGTACCAATTCAAAATTTAGATGGAGAACAAATTCCAACAAAGTTGAAAGAAATATTTAATAAGCTTATTCGTGATGAAGATTATTTGGACATAGAAAGACTGAGAATATCTATTGAAAAATATAAGCTATCCCTATTAAAAAGTCTAGAAATTAATCCTAGTTCCACTTTATCAACATTAATAATTAAAGACTTTTTGTATGGAAAGAGTCAATCAGATGTAAGTAAAATTAAAAAATGTTAAAGAATTATTACAAAAATAATATTTCTTCTGCCTGCATAATTTTAGTTAAACGAAAGATTGAACAGAATTAGCACTTTGAATAATCTTCTTAGAGAAGATATCTCGTTTTGGAAAGAGATTTTAAATGATTATTTTTTAAACAATCATAAAATAGTTGTAAGAGGTGTTCCATCAATAAAAAAAAAACACGAGCTAGCTAATGAAGAAATTCAAAGAGTATCAAAACGCAAAAATGATTTAGGGGATGATGGCTTAAAAATAAAAGCTATTGAACTGCAAAAAGCTAAAACCGAATGTGAAGTAATATAAATATAATTAAATATTTATTTTTATGATAATAGTTATTATTGATTTAATAGTCTTATTTAGGAGTATTAAATCATTGTAAGCTTAAACTTTCAAAAAATAATGTTTGTGCACAAAAAATGATTATTTGAATCAGTTAGATTTATTTTGATTTCCTGATATTTATTACATCGGTTTTTGGATATAAGAAGGATCTCAATTAATTTACGGGATCGTACATTTCAGAAAAATGCATCCAGTGAAATATTGACTTCAGTAACAATTCTTAATATTGAACTTATACAGTTTTTGCCTTATGATACTTTTTCATCAAATTCAATAAATCAACACAATTTATTCAAAACTTCTGAAGTTCCATTGTTTGTTGAAATTGACAATGTTAAAAGTAATTTTGTTTATGTAAGTAAAAAAAAATATGAATAATTTATGAGAACTTGTAAAACTTACTAATTATAATTTTGTATAATAATTCTATTCAGATGAAAGTATTTATTAACACTAAAGATTTGGAATTGAATCTTAGAAAATACTTACCCATTTATCTTGATTTGATAACGGAATGTACTGTAATACGAAATGGTGAAAAATTAGATTATGCTGATGTCATTGCGGAATTAGAAAAAGATGCAGTTTCATGGAGTGCATCAGTTGGGATTGGATCAACATCTTCGTTTTCTTGTGGAACTATTTCCTCTGTTGTACTTTTTACGATTACTGTATGTTTTAATCCCATAGATTATACGTATACAATTTTTATTAAAAAAAAAAAGTATTAATTTTCAATTTATTTATTATAATATATTTTATGGTTTTATTTTATTATACTTAGTATAATAAAATAAATGCTTCATTTAATAAGATTTCAGAAATATTTTATTTTAATCAAATTTCTGATTTTTAAATATGTTTTTTGTTTTACATAAGATAATTGAAAAATTGTTATGATATTGAATATATTATTTAATCAACTAATGATTTATTTTTAAATACAAAATTTATATAATTATTATTTGAAGCTTTACATTTCTATTAATTTGTTTAATATAATAGGTCGAACCAGAAAAATATCATAAAAATATCAAATGGCTTCATGATTTTCTTCATAATACAGTCATTACTAAAGAAAAGTTTTCTATTAATTTGTCAAAAATTATAAATGAAGTTTCTAGCTATCGTAGAGATGGAAACTATATGTTAGATCAAATTTTAATAAATATGACTTACAAACAGGGTAACTATTAAAATAGATTATAAAAATACAACAAGCATGAAGTATTTACAATACATACCAAAGTAATTCTTTTAATGCTAGCCATTCGATTTTTCTTAAGATAATAACCTATTTTGTTTTACTTTGGTAGTTATATATGTAATTTCATTTATCTGTTATAAAATATTTTTTACATTCGTCCCTCATGTCTTATGGGATTGACAAATTTATTTTTTAAATGTATACAATAGAAAATCGTGTAATTAAGGAAATGACTGGTCAATAATAAATTTTGGACCAGTATTTCAAAAGTTATTAATGTTTTTATATCTAGTCGCAAAGAGGATTGGAGCTAAGAAATTTCGTATTATAAAAATAGCTGATACCACCCCTCACCTTCAATCATTAGTATAAATTATTAATTATCTATGAAATACTGGTCCAAAAGTTGTTATCAGCAGTTATTTTCTTAATGAAATCATTTTTAGCTTTGATGCGAAGCTGAGAAAGTATTAATTCAACTAGATGTGTTTTTTTTCTATAATTGTTGCCGCTTTTTCTCAGCTCTCACTGATACGTCAAAAAATCACAAATCATATCTAGTTGAATACATTGCCCTTAAAAATTGAAAAAAATTTCCTTTGTTCACCCGTAAATGGGGGAAATCACAAAAATATTAAAATTTTAAAAATCTGTAATTTTTGACATATTTTTTACTTTTTTTCTTAAAACTACCATAACTTTTTCAAAAATTAATAAAAAAATAATTTTTTTTACATAGAAAAATTAGGTATTTCAATTTTATTTTATATAATTTTATGTGGAATAAAATATTCTATTTTTTAGATTGATATGTGATCACAAATTTATATAATTACTATTAACAGTAAATTTATAAGAAAAATTTTAATTTCGATAAAAACGTTTTTTTGCATTTTTATTGCAATAAATTATTTAAGTATAAGTCTTAATATGAATATCTATGCACTCTTGGTTTTAAAATAATTATTCATATTGATATACTACACATAGTACATTCTGCTTGTTATTTATTTTTTTAATTAAAATATATTAATTGATTATTCATACGTAACATTATAATCAAACATAAATATTTGTATTAATTAGAAAGATTTTGTTATTTTTTAGTTAATATACGAAATTTTAATTGCGCATTTGAAATAGGCACAAAAATGAGCTTAGAAAAGTATATTTTTAATTCTGATGAAAATTCCTTGTATCCATTTATTCGTAATTAACAAAAAATTATTTTATGAAAAGTTTTATATAAAACCCTTCAACTTTTATACATTTATGCCATAAAAATAATATCTATTTAATAATTTTATTGTAATTTCTCCATAAAAATACGATATTAAATGATTAAATATCAATTTCATACTCTATTTAATTGCTATAATAAATATTTATTCATAAATTGTACTTTTAAATCTAAGGACTACTAATCAAAAAATAATTAAAGAAATAAGAGTTCATTTTGCTTTTAGAATAATCCACCAATTTTTTAAAATTAAACACTATCTACAGATTAGCATCGAACGTTTCTTATGATAGTGATTTTGATCTCTGTCAAATATTATTTATACTTGATCCAACTATGCCACGTCCATACTGCGCCGCTACCCCACTGTGCTACCGTTTTATTTTATAAGTTAGTTAAATATGTATGTCACCATTTTAAAAAGTAAAATTTAAAGCCATATAAGCCATAAGAAATGAACATAAGATTATTTTATAACAGATAAATGAATATTATTAAACTAATAAAGCCAAAAACAAAATTTACTAAAAATTATTATTTTAAGAGAAATGGAATAGCTAATGTCAAAAGAATCTGTTTTAATCCTAAATATACAGGTTGCTCATGTCGTTTTTACCAATCGAAAATAAATATTTCTTTTATTAATCAAAGCTGAGGTTTGAATTGACGGAAAACATGATACACGAAACCCCCCCTCGAATCATCCATTAAACCACTGCATAGTAGAAATGTGTAAAGTATGAGTCAATTAATCTCGTATAAATGGCTTATAAGAACTCCAGAATTCAGTGGCTAACTGTAATGTCACACTGCCAGTTATTCTTAATGTACTTCTACATTTAGCTTTTACATTACTTTCCAGCCACATAGTAGCTGGAAAGCAGGGAAAACCGGTCACATACGCTACTAAACTCTAGCTTCTTGGTTGTCAATTTTAGTTTTTATTTACCAATAACCTTGTCACCCGTTATATGTAAAATTTCCAGTAAAAAATTTAACTAAAAAATTTTAAAGTAATGTATAAGAAATTCTTAGACAGATTTCTAATAATGATATTAAGGTTAGGCAGTGGGTCAACGTATAGGAAAATTCAGAAAATTACAGAAATATTTTAAAAGTGTCTGATAATAAGTTGAAGAATTGATGAATTCAGTGGAATATTTGATTAAAAACACAAGATACCGTTTTAAGAAATGAATTTCTATGTAAACTAAGTTGAAATTTATATTACGATTTTTATCATCTGGAGATTAATTTTGGTCTTGTGTTTAATTATTAAGAGTACCACACAACTCAATATTTCAATATACTAAAAGTTTAAAAAAAATGTTCTGAAATTTTATAATCTTATTTATCTGAGTTCTGACATTGTCTGATTTTAAATACATCGGAAACAACACAAATATTATCAAAGTAGATATAATCTCAATAATTTATTATTATGTATTTTTCTATTTTATAATTTGGGATTTAGCTAGTTGATATCAAATTATTTAGTGGAAGAGGCTTGCCTGTTAATAATGAAGGACTTGCAAATGTCTATGTAGTCATCAACTTATAATATTTACTTTATTCTTGATTTATTTTTTAATTTACTTGTAAATATTAAGCTAATTTCAATTTTTTTTAACAGATAACAATAATTACGCATGCAGTATTTTAAGACAATATAATTTTTTAACTAGTTTGCAAAAAACAATCGAAACTGAAGAAGGTTGGAAAGTTGTAAATGAAGATTTGAATAAATTAAAATTATTTTTAGCTAATACAAATAACATTAAATTACACATATCTGGCAATTTGGATAAATTATGTAATATTATTCCTGAAGCTTCTGTTGCATTACAAAAAATTATTCCAGATAATTCAAAGGCATTAATACATCCGTAATAAAAATTTGGTTATAGTATTAAAATTGTACTTAATATTACATTTAATTGTAATTAAAATTTATAGATTTAAAACACAGTTTGACTTTGAATCTGTGTTACCTCTAAACCAATTTGGAATTCGAGCTTGTATTGTAGGAATGGGTTCTATTGAGTCAAGTTATTTCAAACAAGTTTCTGATTGTATAAACGATTATAACCATCCAGACGTAGCTGCTATTTATGTATTTTTGTCATACTTTAGTCAGTTAGAAGTATGTTATCATTTTGATTAAAATGTATATTATATTAAATATTTTTTTTAAATTGAGAAAAAAGTAATCCAATATTTATTTTTTCAATCAAAATGTTTTAAGAGATTATTTTTATTTTGTGGCAATAAGCTTATAGGTAATTTGATATATTTAATAGATGAGTACATTTTAAACATTCCGAGTACTGGAAATTAAAAAGTGAATTATTTATAATTAATGTTTTGTGCTCATATTTTATATTTTAGCGTTAATGCAAAACTGAGAAGGTATTAATTTTACTGTGATGTGTTTATTATTTTATTTTCTGTGTCTGTTACCACTTTTTCTCAGCTCTCACCGAACTGAATTCTTTCAATGATACGCCAAAAGATCACAAATCGTATCTAGTCGAAGACATTACCCTCAAAAATTAAAAAATTTCTCTCGTTCCCCGTAAATGGGGGAAATCTCTAAAAGATTAAAAAATTTAAAAATTGTTGATTTTCGACATTTTTTAAATTTTTTTACTTAAAACGCCATAATTTTTTCAAAAATGAACAAATCAGTATAATTTTTTTTATAGATGCATAATTTCTTTACTTATCATATGATATATTTTTTTTTATACATTTGACCCTTTACCTGCCCACAGGGTGTATTAAAAAGTACAACTTTTTCACAAAAAATTTACTTTTTCAACTTAACTTTTTAAAGTGTTCAGAAATATTGACACTTTTATGTATATCTTAAAGTAAAGCTTATGTAATATACTTTATTATGGAAAAAAAAGAATGTCGGACTTTATTTTGTCTTCATGGTGAAAATGGCTACCGTATGCTATTTTGGGGTAAAATTCTCGATTTTATATTTTACATTAAATTTTTTAACTTAAAATGTATGGATCAATGTAATTTATTTTGAGAAATAACATTTATATCCGTCTTTCATTCGACACACTTTTTTTTTTAAATAACAACATTTCCTTTTATATTTTATACATAAATATATATATTAAGGTGTCCCTTATTTTGAAAATTTTGGAAATTCTTCAGGCTCACCACCCAAATTTGTGTGTATACATATAAAAAGTGGCTACAAAAAATTTCGAGCCGATCAGATAATTTTAACCCGTGCCGACTAGTGGTTGAAAATCGGCCAAAAGGGGTACTGTTTTAGTTTTCAGCAATTAACTCGTAAATTAGAGCTCTCGCAAATAAAGTATTGAAATTAAATTGTAGATCTAATTGTTTTGTATAAATTAAGTTCTTACTGTTTTTCTTTTAAATCCATTTGTTTTCTATAAAAATGTCAAAATGCATAATATTTCGTAAAATGGCCGAAATTGGCATATTTACAAATATTTCATCATATATCACGAACCATAGTGATACAACGTAATATTTCATGAAAAAATTGTTTAAAATTAAATTTTACGAAATAAAAGTAATAAGTACAAATTTCATTGAACCGATCGTTTTATTGCTATAGTTGAAATTGCTCGATCATATTACGATTTTTACTAAATATATGAATTTTATTGCTAGATTCTGTTAGTTATCATCTGATACATTATAACACTTATCGTGCAAGTACAGCGATAATACTATGTTATGACTGTATTAATGTATTGTTATTATTTTTATATTATAAATAACTCTGGAAATCGTAAATGTATTACAAATCGCAGCAATAGGTATAGTGAACTCATACTTATACCACTTTAGTCGCTCACATCGCGTATTAAGTTGAACTGCTTCCTATTGTGTTTTTCTTTTAATGTACGTAAAAATGTCCGTAGTATTACGAAATGACAATAAAATATTTTTAATGGGTCTTTGACTGCTCAAATTTTAGGTTCAAAACTTGCATTCATTGGACAAGTTCTAAAAGTTTTTTTTATTATAACCCAAGAATTGTTAATCTTACTATAAGTGCAAGTGCAGCATTGAATATTCGCAAGTGTAATATTTTTTGTGAAAAAGCTCGAATTCCTACTCGTTCATTTTACCACTGTGTAAATAAGTTAGTTAATTTTTATTACCAGTTGCGCATTTTACAAAAGAATTCTCGCAAAATTGGAGAAACGTTTAGAGCAAAAGCATATTATTATTAATAATTTTGATAATTTGTTTGATATCGCTCACGCCGATGCTTTAAATTTGATTAAGGTAGTTACTGATAAACCATTTTTAATGAACCAAAGACTTCCTGGTCAAATTGGTTGTCTAGATGGCATCGACCAAAAATTACAAAAAAAAGAAGAGAGATCTAAAAAGCGTAAGATTAGGGAAACAGAAAGGCTTAGTGAATACCAAGTAGCCGGTCCATTTACTTCATATTCTACGCAAAGTATACTTATTTATCAGATGATATAATTATAAGTTCCTCTTCATCTATAGTATACACATATATATAGACACAAATTTGGGTGGTTTCATCATGTCTGGTATATCACAAAGAAGTACCATTAAATTATACGTCTTAATTTTCATTTCAAAATTAACTATCATTATTAGATTTTTAATATACAAAAAGAATTATTAATGTTGTTTAAAAAATAATTATAATAATTATACAGCTAATAATTAGTAGCTGATAAATGCAACTAAAAAAAAAATTGTTTTTCAATATCTTATTTATATTGTAAAGTAGAATAATTTTTAAGTAAAAATTAATTGTATTATACTTCCAAAACTTGTATTGGATACTCATTTAATTAATGTACTTTTTATTTTAAATAGGGACCTATGTGGAAGAAAGTTCGAGGATCCGGATATGTATATCACTATGATTTTTCTCTAAATCTAGATGAAGGAAAAATTTCTTTAAGTTTTTACCGTTCTGTAAATGTACTAGCTGCTTATCAAGCTACTAAATCAATAATAGTAAGCTTAGTTAATTAGTAAATTTAATGTGCAGTAATTTATTTTATTATTTGACTGCTATATAAATTGATTTAACTCTCGCGTCTGCTGTTCCATTATAATTTCCATCTTATATTATATTTATTTACAGGTATTTGCTAATAGCTTAAACGTAGATCCAAAGTGCTTATATAACGTACTTTTTTTTAATTTAGAAAGCATTTGTTCCACTGGGATCGGACATTCGCGATCCGGAAATTATTCCGGATCGCGAATTAAACTCGGTTATTAAACCGAGTTTAATTTATGTGCATCTAAAGAAATTCTTACACTTCTATCTTTTTTAATTACTAATATAATAGAGTTAGATCATGGAAAATTTGATCGTTCTATTATTCTCCATGATAACATTTCATAAATTGTATATTTTACTGTGTTTAACTTTGATTCCGGAATAGGATAAGGTTTATGGTTAATAGGTGAACACTCTTTCAGTCGTATTTTACGTATATAATCTTTTATTAGACCTGGTTGTTTACGAAAAATCATTTCCTAACTACTAATCAGATTATTAAATTCACATCGCTGTAAATCAGTTATATTTATTAAAATCCACACCTAAAATAATTTCTTCGTTTACATTTTCAACTATTAAATATATAGTTTGGAAATCTATATTATTAATAGTAAGAGTACAAAAATTTTATTTTAAATTTTACTCAATTTTATACCAATTGCATTGTACACATTTATAATAGTAACTGGAAGTGTGAGAATATATTGTTTTATAATTAATTATTTATGTAATATACCCGACATACATGTTACTTCACTGCCAGAATCAATTAAACATTTAGCAATTATAGTTTGAATATTTGTGTTGTCGTAAGGGCAATCTCTATCAACGATTACATTATAATTATCCTGAAAATTCTTTTCATTTGTTAGTTCTTTACCCTTAGATAAATTAAAAAAAGGATATAATTTTTTTACACATGATATTAAGGGTTTTATTTTCTAGATTATTGTCTTTATCTAGAACCCTCGAACTTAGTTTTTTTTTACTGTCATTCTCTATAATTACAAATGAACTGCTTGTACTTGGTTTAGGGCCACCTTCCTCAGTAGCCTCATCTATTGTTATTATATTCACATTTCTATTAGGAGCCATCCATAAATTACGTCATACGTTAATGGAGGGAGGGTATCACCGTAATGTGACATATTATGACCAGGGGCAGGGAGTCAAAAGTTTTGTGACGTCACATGTTAAAATTTAAAATACTAAAACAAAAAAATTTATATGTAAATAAAAAATGTTCGAACTTGATCTATATTTATAAATAATTAAGCACTCTCGCTATGAGATTATCTCTCACGCAGTGGTGGCTCGTGGGTGCTGGTGATAGAGGTGCGACTTTAAATATAATACTGCTAGTTATAGGTATAAAAAATTATCAAATTAAATATAATAAAATAAAACACAGTACGCATATTATTATTTTAAAGGTCACAGTAGAAAATAGAAATAAAAATAATAATAGCAATTATACTATTATAGCAACCGATAACGACGAGTGTACACGTAGTTAATTCTAAAAATAAATCACCCAATATAGTAATATACTAATATTTTACTGTATAGGCGATGCTGCCGGTCGCCCAAAACCCGTACATAAGATCGCAGCTGAACCGTATCAGCATACACACGATTGTTACGCCTCGCTAATAGTATACGTTAGCTGAGTGACAGTCATAGTTTTCTCCGTTAGACTATTTTTATGTTTTTAATTTATTAAATAATTTTAAAATGAACAATAAGATTGATCTAGGTAGTCTTTACCTTTTTGATGTCTACAATGCAGCCTATGCTGACAAAAAAAAACAAATCGTACAAGATGAAGTTAATAAGTTTGAAAAATGTATGACGTCACATCAGGGGATAGGGGTTCTAAAAATGTAACAACCTGTGTCAAGGACAGGGGAAAGGTTTAAAAGTTCAAAGATCCGTGTGATGTAATTTATGGATGACTCCTTAATTGGCCTATTCTCATTACTCTAAATATATTTATTATAGTTAGATTTTTTCTCATTCTGATCGTTATTTTGTATATTATTACTAGCTGAATAACCCGGCTTCGCACGTGTGTAGTTATTGCTCTCTCTAAATGAAATTCTTAAATGAGATGTTTATTATTGACCTTCTTTCTTTTTTCCGTCTCCTAGCAACATTTCTTAAATAAACGACGTGAATTTTCAAACGAAAATAATAGCACGTAGGTTGCACAGTTAGAGTTAGTTTTATAATAATTAATAGCCGACCCCTGTGCGCTTCGCAGCACCAAAATAAAAATACAATAAAAATCATATAATTTTTCCTAGAAAATCATTTTTTTTTCAAATTCTTTATTATCAATCCAACACATTTGGGTAAACAATATTCTTTGTTTGTCTATTTGGGGCATACACGATTTGGAGTGCCAATTCTTGAACAGACCAGGTATAGTTGCCCGTGCGAAAAACACAGCTCCTCCAAATTCAAACCGCATACATGAAACGTTTGTCCTTGTGCCTTATTGATGGACATGGCGAATGATAGGCGCACGGAGAATTGCAATCGTTTGAATTCAATTGGCATGTCTGTTAGTATCAGAAGAATACGTGGGATGAGTACAACTTCCCCCTTCGCTTTGCCAGTCAATATTGTAGCTTCAATTCAATTTGGCATCAATTTTTTTACAGTTAATCTTGTGCCGTTGCACAATTTTGGTGTATTCAAATTCCGTAGAAAAATAATTGATGAGCCTACCTTAAAATTCAAACAATGCAGCGACATACCAGGTGGTTCCAACGAATTCAAAAATTCAACTGGATAGTTGACTGCATCATCTTCATTCAATGCGCTATCAACAGATTTGTATGATGTCACTGCACCAGGCAATTTTTCTTGGATGAGATAATTGATAGAATTGACATGCACATTTTTTGGTGCCAGAATTGCGCGTTCACTCAATCAATTGTGATTCCTGTGATTCTGGACAATATTCTGGAACACTCATTCAATAAATTCTTCTTTTGATTGGAGAATTGTACAAAAATTGTTCGTCAAACTAATTAAACCGTTTGTGTTATCGATTCGAACTTTGCCATTTCCGATTTTCAATAATTGCTTCGAAAACCGATCTGCAGATTGAGCCTAATGTTTACTGCGCAATGCGATAACGAAATTGTTGTTTTTGGCCATGTCGCCGGGTGTGCACTTAAGAGACCATAACTCCAGAACCACTTATTGCACAGCGTACTGACTTCACAGAAACAATCTACATATCAACCTTAATATGCCCTGAAATTTTTATCAAAATCGGTTTGCTGGATCTTGAGTTATAAAATTTATTAAAAATGTACAAGTAGGGTATTTTAGGGGATTCTAGAACCCCCCCGCCTCAC